ATCTCGTTGCTTTGGCTACCTTACAGTTGCGTTCCCCGCGCCCACGTGGTAGACAATATACATTGCCCGAACGACAATTCGAAACTGTATCTTGGCCCATAGTGCAATTATAACTCATTTTTGTGACTCCCGCGTAGCTTCCCCTTTTTTGTTTTTTCTTTCTTTCTTCAGGGGCTCGCCCCACAGCCTTTTTTAAACACAAAAAATGGACACCCCATCTTCGCCGCACAGCCTTTCGAACCCACAGTCGGTGAAAATGTGTCAAAAGGTGTCAGTGAACCCAGCTTCAGAAGGCGTTTCCCACCTGCCTGTCACGGTCCAATTCTCAAAAGCCGCCTTTGGGTCTTGTGGAAAAGGGCCATGAAGAGGACCATCCATCGGGTTCTCTAACCTCCCGCCCACCATTTGTTTTGTTGTGGTGGGTTCGGAAGTTGGCTTTCGAAGAAGGTTTCGAAAGTATGTGTGGTTAAGGGGGGTCCTTTCTTTCGAGCGCAACATTTCTCCAATTCCATCTGACAATTTCCGGAAAGTGCCTTGGGTCGAAAGGCTGTGTGCCTAGCCCCCTGGGGCCTCGACCGACTAGCCAAGCGTAAAACAGTGTGTGGCATGCGAAATGTGTTAAAAAAATAGGAAAAAATGGTTTTCCTGCATTTTATTTTCCCCCATTGATAAGGAGCCCGCAATAATGACTGACATCCGTCATTATTACTGACATCCGTCATTATTACACCATATGCGTTTCATTCCAATACATGCATGGATTCACCCCGACATTGCGGGCATGTGCGCCCGCCCTTGTGATAGGGACATGAATACAAGGCCCAATGAGTGGGCACTGACACCACATTTCTCGCCCTTATTTGTGGGCACTGCACAAAAACGACGCCGTTATTACTTCCATTCGTCATTTTTTTCAGACTTTCCAAGCGAAAATCTGTTGGCGCGAAGCTTGGATATCACCCCATGGGTCAAAAGTTGTTGTTATTCCAACAAAAACACCAAAAAAAAAAAAAAAAAACTTCCAATTGGCCATCAGCCGGGAACCTCGCCCGACTCCTAAACATCATCACAGTTGATGTGGAGGGCAATCGGCGGCCGTTTTGTGTCACCCCGGGCCACACGGTGATCGAAAGCCCAGCCTCCAAGCGTAACGCTTGGCTAGTCGGTCGACGCCCCAGGGGCCATGCTAATCTTCTCTGTATCGTTCCAATTTTAACGGATGTCCCGAAGGATACATCATTTGACTGACCAGCCCACCCAAGGTAATTCAGAAAGCAGATTATTTTGTCAATCTGACTGCAGCTGGACTCGAACTTGCGTCTGCATTTGAACACTTCATGGGTGAACCAGCTGAGCTACCGGTAGGCCCGTTGGTCACTTTCGATTTTAGGCCTCGCTTGAGGACTCTCGACATGCACAAATCACCAAAAAAAAAAAAATGCCCGTGCATTTTTCCATGTTCTAGCATAAAATTCATTCCCATTTTGCACATTTGGTGAGTACACTGAACACTGAGTAGTGGAGCTAGGTCCTTTCTCTGGCTATTAGGGAGCGCCCGCGGCGGCCAACCTACCAACCAACTTGTATTCTTGTATTTATATATATCTATAAACGAATCGGAAACGGAAACCTGGTCTTCCCGCCCAAATCGACAAATCGATTTGTGCGAATCTGGGACGGCCCCGCCATAACATAAATGTTGTGGTCGCGGTTCTTCGTTTTTTAACTCGGCAGCGGGTGTACTTAACATGGAGGGGTAGCGGCGTCAAGTTGAAATTGCGTAGGGGTATCTACGTGACTTGCGCAGTCTTCAACTGACGATCGCTGAGGTCGAAGGGTAAAGGAAGGGATAGCAACGCGGGAGTAGCCGAGGACCGTCAACGGACCCAAACTCGTGGCTTCTTGGCTTGAGGGGAGAGAGAACAGAGGCAGGGCATAAAAAAACGCACGAACACGAAGAGCTTTTCGACTTCTCTGTGGACGTAATTCAAGCCGGGTGCATCCAGGGTAGGGCGGGAATGCGGTCATATACATTCAGGAAAGTGCCAGTGTGATTACGGGCTCAGAGTCGCAAATCTCGACACCGTCAACAGTATCGCGCCATCCTCGGTGCTTGAGGGAGGGCGAGAGAGAGGGAGCGGGAGAGGAGGATAGACCAGGAACGGCGACCGGACGATTGCTTGCCTAGGACCGGTCGCTGCAGCTGCATCGATTGGCATTCTTCTTCTTCTTCTTCTTCTTCTTCTTCTTCTTCTTCTTCGGTGCTTTCGGAGTTCGACACGTAGTACGGGAACGTTGCTGGGCAGTTTGTATGGTAAACTTCCCTCTCCCTCTCCCTCTCCCTCACCCTCTCCCTCTCCCTCTCCCTCCCTCTGTCTCCCTCGCTCTCCTTCTCTCTCTCTTCTCTTTTCTTACTTCTCTTCTTGCTGCTGTCTAGCATTCATCCTCGCGTAATTTTCTCTTCGTCTTTCTCCTTCCACCTGTCCCCTACTGCTTGCAGTTGAATGTTGTAGCACGTCCCTCTCCATGCCCGGGACTACATTGGGAGAGTTGCTTTCGCGCTTGTTGCGGTTATGTTCGTGGCCGTGCCTGTGGGCTCATGTTTCCGCTTCCG